GATGAGGATGCTGACGATGATGATGGTGATTCTTCTGCTGATGATGATTATGATGATGCTGATGCTGTTGATGATGAGGATGCTGATGATGAGGATGCTGATGATGGCGATGATGATGCTGATGAGGATGATGATGATGCCGATTTCGACGATGATGATGATGACATTTGTGCTGGTGATGATGATGATGTTGCTGATGCTGATGGTGGTGGTGGTGATGATGATGCTAATGTTGATCGTGATAATGATGATGATGATGATGATGATGATGATGATGATGATGATGATGATGATGATGATGATGATGATGATGATGTTGAGGATGCTAACACTCTTGATGATGATGCTGATGATGACGACGATGATGATGATGATGCTTATCATGATGGTGGTAGTGATGATGCTGATTCTGATGATGATGCTGATAAGGATGATGACGATGATGATGATGAAGATGATGGTGATGATGATGATTCTGATGATGCTGCTGATGATGATATTGATGATTCTGATGATTGTCATGATGCTGCTGATGATGATGCTGATGGTGATGAGAACGATGATGATGACGATGACGATGCAGATGCTGCTGAGGATGATGATGATGATGAGAATGGTTATGCTGATGATGATGATGATGATGATGATGATGATGATGCTGATGCTGCTGCTGCTGATGATAATGATGATGACGATGCTGATGATGCTGCTGATGATGCTGATGATGAAGAAGATGAAGATGATGCTGATGATGATGGCGACGACGACGATGATTCTTATTAATATGATGACGATTATGATGATGATGCTGATGATGATGCTGAAGGTGCTGATGATGATGACGATGCTGCTGATGATGATGATGATGCTGCTGATGATGATGATGACGATGACGATGACGATGATGAGGATGGTGATGATGATGACGATGCTGATGATGATGATGATGATGATGATGATGATGATTATGATGATGATGATGATGGCAACTATGATGGTACTGCTGATGATGATCCTGATGATGATGATGATGATGAGGAGGAGGAGGAGGAGTTTGATGATGATGATGATGATGAGGAGGAGGAGGAGGAGGAGGAGGAGTATGATGATGCTGCTGATGATGATGATGTCGATGTTGATGCTGATTCTGATGATGCTGCTGCTGATGCTGCTGCTGATGAGGATGATGATGATGGTGGTACTGATGATGTTGATGACGATGATGATGAGGAGGAGGAGGAGGAGGCGGATGATGATGATGATGATGATGATGCTGATGATGATGATGATGATGATGATGATGATGATGATGATGATGATGATGATGATGATGATGATGATGATGATGATGATGATGATGATGATGATCATGCTGATGGTGCTGATTTTGATGGTGATGCTGGTGATGATGCTGCTGCTGAGGAGGAGAAAGAAGAGGAGGAAAAGGATGACGAGGATGATGGGTAGGAGGAGGAGGAGGAGGACGAGGAGGAGGAGGAGGAGGCTGAGGAGGAGGAGGAGGATGAGGAGGAGGAGGAATAATTAGAAGAAGCATATTCGTAATACTACTACTACGGAGAATAAGGTTAATCAGAGGAAGACGACTACTGATAATAATCATCGAGTAATAATACGATTGGTAATACTAAGAAGAACCATACCATAACCAAGAAGAGTAACACGACACATAATACTACTACTCATACGGGTAATAATAACACTCGTAATATTCGTAGCACGAATCAGACTATTAACACATAATGAACTTACGAATCTGTGACTAGTAATAAAACTAAGACGAAGAAACATTCATATGATTCATATTATTCATGCTACCACACTAGTAAAACGCATACAACGAATACCATGACGAATCACAGTAACACGAGTAGTATTCATCGTAACACTACTAATAAACGACTAGTTCTAAAACTAATAACACGAACACTGGTAATACTATTAGTACAAAGAAGAACACTTTTACTAAGAAGTTTACCCTGGCGACGTACCCAATCCCTGCGCAATGCGGGGCATGGGTAGCTTGGGAGACGTTATACGGAGGTGATGACGTGACATGGGCGCATATACTTCTGCGAGCGGCATTCATGAGGCTCGCAGCCCCCCAAGGATTGCGATGTCCCGCTCAGATCTGCCTGGTGCCTCGCTCCGCTGGACCCACCAGCAACCCTCGAAAGTGGCGACACTTTCGCAGATCGCAGCCCCCCCCCAGGGACGGCGAGGTCCCGCTCAGATCCGCGCGGTGCCTTACTCCGCAGGACCCGGGACGGCGAGGTCCCGCTGCGATCCGCGCGGTGCCTCAGTCCGCAGGACCCACCAGCAGCCGCCGAAAGTGGCGACAGCTTTGCAGATCGCAGCCCCCCAGGGACGGCGAGGTCCCGCTCAGGCCCGCGCGGTGCCTCGCTCCGCAGGACCCACCAGCAGCCCTCGAAAGTGGCGACAGTTTCGCAGATCGCAGCCCCCCCCAAGGACGGCGAGGTCCCGCTCAGGTCCGCGCGGTGCCTCACTCCGCATGACCCACCAGCAGCCCTCGAAAGTGGCGAGAGTTTCGCAGATCGCAGCCCCCCAGGGACGGCGAGGCCCCCCTCAGGTCCGCGCGGTGCCTCGCTCCGCAGGACCCACCAGCAGCCCTCGAAAGTGGCGACAGTTTCGCAGATCGCAGCCCCCCAGGGACGGCGAGGTCCGCTCAGGTCCGCGCGGTGCTTCACTCCGCAGGACCCACCAGCAACCTCCGATAGTGGCGACAGTTTCGCAGATCGCAGCCCCCCCAGGGACGGCGAGGTCCCGCTCAGGTCCGCGCGGTGCCTCACTCCGCAGAACCACCAGCAGCCTTCGAAAGTGCGGACAATTTTCGCAGATCGCAGCCTCCCAGGGACGGCGAGGTCCCGCTCAGGTCCGCGCGGTGCTTCGCTCCGCAGGACCCACCAGCAGCCGTCGAAAGTGGCGACATTTTCGCAGATCGCAGCCCCCCAGGGACGGCGATGTCCCGGTCAAGTCAGCGCGGTGCTTCACTCCGCTGGACCCACCAGCAGCCGTCGAACGTGGCGACAGTTTCGCTGATCGCAGCCCCCCAGGGACGGCGACGTCCCGCTCAGGTCCGCGCGGTGCCTCACTCCGCATGACCCACCAGCAGCCCTCGAAAGTGGCGACAGTTTCGCAGATCGCAGCCCCCCCAGGGACGGCGAGGTCCCGCTCGGGTCCGCGCGGTGCTTCACCCCGCAGGACCCACCAGCAGCCTCCGAAAGTGACGACAGTTTCGCAGATCGCAGCCCCCCAAGGGACGGCGAGGTCCCGCTCAGGTCCGCGCGGTGCCTCACTCCGCAGGACCCACCAACAGCCTTCGAAAGTGGCGACAGCTTCGCAGATCGCAGCCCCCCAGGGACGGCGAGGTCCCGCTCAGGTCCGCGCGGTGCCTCGCTCCGCAGGACCCACCATCAGCCTTCGAGCGTGGCGACAGTTTCGCAGATCGCAGCCCCCCAGGGACGGCGAGGTCCGCTCAGGTCCGCGCGGTGCTTCACTCCGCAGGACCCGCCAGCAGCCTCCGAAAGTGGCGACAGTTTCGCAGATCGCAGCCCCCCCAGGGACGGCGAGGTCCCGCTCAGGTCCGCTCGGTGCCTCACTCCGCAGGACCCATCAACAGCCTTCCAAAGTGGCGACAGTTTCGCAGATCGCAGCCCCCCAGGGACGGCGAGGTCCCGCTCAGGTCCGCGCGGTGCCTCATTCCGCAGGACCCACCATCAGCCTTCGAACGTGGCGACAGTTTCGCAGATCGCAGCCCCCCAGGGACGGCGAGGTCCCGCTCAGGTCCGCGCGGTGCCTCACTCCGCAGGACCCGCCAGGAGCCTTCGAACGTGGCGACAGTTTCGCAGATCGCAGCCCCCCAGCGACGGCGAAGAGAGGGCAGGAGGCGAGAGGAGGCGGGATGCGGGAGGAGAAGAAGGAGAGACGCGACCACACGCTTCTATTCAAAACGAATACCCAACCACGGAGGGTTGGGATTATTAGTAAGCGCCACAATAAACATGTTAGTAATCATAATAATGCTAACCGTACTAATAGTACTACGACTACGGCGAATACACATACTCATACTGTTAACAAGAATACTAATGCTAATCTTAATATTACCAATGCTAAGCATACTACCAATAACACTAATAATACTTTAGGGTTCGAATAATACTTACATGAAGACGAATAATACGAATCATAACGAGAGGAGGAGGAGGAGGAGGAGGAGGAGGAGGATGAGGATGAGGATGAGGATGAGGATGATGATGATGATGATGATGATGATGCTGATGATGCTGATGATGATGATGATGGTGGTGGTGGTGGTGGTGGTGATGATGATGATGATGATGATGATGATGCTGCTGCTGCTGATGATGATGATGATGATGATGATGATGATGATGCTGATGATGCTGATGATGATGATGATGATGGTGGTGGTGGTGGTGGTGATGATGATGATGATGATGATGATGATGATGATGAGGATGATGATGATGATGATGATGATGATGATGATGATGATGATGATGATGATGATGATGATGATGATGATGATGATGATGATGATGATGATGATGATGATGATGATGATGATGATGATGATGATGATGATGATGATGATGATGAGGATGAAGATGACGATGAGGATGAGGATGATGAGGATGAGGATGAGGAGGAGGAGGAGGAGGAGGAGGAGGAGGAGGAGGAGGGGGACGCAGGAGCAGGAGCAGGAGCAGGAGGATAATCTGGAGGAGAAACTGGACCAGGAGGAGGGGGGGGAGGGGGAGGGGGGCGGAGGAGGGGAGGAGGAGGAGGAGGAGGAGGAGGAGGAGGAGGAGGAGGAGGAGGAGGAGGAGGAGGAGGAGAGGAGGAGGAGGAGGAGGAGGAGGAGGAGGAGGAGGAGGAGGAGGAGGAGGAGGAGGAGGAGGAGGAGGAGGAGGAGGAGGAGCGCTCCCGCCCCCCAGGTCTTGCAGGGCCGTGCCGCCCACGACGACCGCCTGCGGCAGAGGCTGCGGGAGAAAGGCCTCGACGCGGACCAGCTGGCCGAGATGCGCGCTCGCGCCGCGCGCCTCTGCGTCGCCGTCGTCGTCGTCGTCGTCGCTTTGCCCGTCGCCGTCGCCATCGTTGCGACCATCGTCGTTGCCGCTGTCGCTGCCGTCGTCGCTGTCTCGTCGTCGTCGCCGTCGTGGTCACCGTCGTCGTCGCCGTCGTCGTCGCTGTCATCATCATCGCTGCCGTCGTTGTGGTCGCCTTTGTCGCTGTGCTCGCCGTCGTCGCAGCCGTCGGCCGGGGAGAAAAAGAGCATGAAGGGCAGACTAGATACGCTCCCGTCACGTCTAGCATCCTCCCCCTCCCACATCCATCACTCCCCAATCCGCTGATCTCTTAGCTATCCGCGGACACGTGTCGTAGCGGAGCTGGAACTCCAGAACTTACCCAATCGCACTGTGCGCAATCGGAAAGGAAGGGGAGCTGCGTACACTTGAGGAGGATGCGGCGGATGAGCAGGAGGATAAGCAGCAGGATAAGCAGCAGGAAACGGAGGAGAAGGAGGAGGCGAAACCATCGCGCCCCTAGGAAGGCGATGCCGACCTGGGGATGCGTCCGAGCTGGGGCCGCGGGCCAGCACGCGAAAGCGGGCACCGCGGCTGCCCGCCAGCAGCCGCCTGCGCGCCCCGCCTCGCAGCCCACCATGCACGCCAGGTTGAAACAGTGGACGCATGCCGGCGGTGGGGCGGGGGGGCGGGGGGGTGGGCGGGCGACTGCGGCGACGAGGGGGGGAATTGACACTACGCGGCCATCTTCGCTCCCGTCTTGGGGTGAAGGCGTCGCTCGATCCTCCTCACATGCACGACATGGTTAGCGCGCGTGGATGGTACATGTGAGGGGCCACGGCATTGAGTTTGATCATCCGCCCGAGACTTCAGCGTCCGGCCGCCACAGAGCTTCCGACAAACAAGTGGGCCACATCTGGCGACGTCATGGCCCAGGTCCCCAAAGGCCCTGAGCAGCTCGTCCTGCTCAGGCTCGGGCTCGGGAGTGGTGGGGGGGAGACCAGCGATGCCAACATCGTCGGCTGTGGCGCGTACGATACATCAATTTCGATGGGCACCGCCTCAGACTGGACAAGCACGAAAGTCCTACCATGACCTCTGCACCAGCGGCTCGCCGCAGCCTGCTGGGCGGGTGAGGGGTGTTGCACCCGCGTGCGGCCTTGCCGTGCCACGCAGACTCTGTGGGAGGCCCGAGTCTGGGCATGCACTCCTCGCTGTGCCAATACTGGTGACCAGTCACTCTGACCCGAGGAGGGGCTCCTCCTCCTCCTCCTCCTCCTCCTCCTCCTCCTCCTCCTCCTCCTCCTCCTCCTCCTCCTCCTCCCCCTCCTCCCCCTCCTCCCCTCCTCCCCCCCTCCTCCTCCTCCTCCTCCTCCTCCTCCTCCTCCTCCTCCTCCTCCTCCTCCTCCTCCTCCTCCTCCGGGAACGAGGTAGAGTTGGGATTCAGGGTCCATGACGGTCCAACTCGGTGCTTGTGGCATCGTTTGAGCATTCCAATGGAGGGAGCACAAGGTCGCTGTGCAGTGCCCAGAATCTCCAGGAAGCGCCCTGCGCCGCCCGTCGGCCAGACAGCGGGAACCAGACCCGAGTTTGGCGAAACAGTCGCCCTCCCAAATAGTCCGGCCCAACACCGGACGTCACGCCCCTGGAAGAGAACGGCGTCCAGGGAACGATGGGCAGGAACCCAGCCACACAGCGGGGGCAGCTCAAGGGGCACTCCAGACACTTCGGCCCCGATGGCCGAGGCCGGGGTCCCATCTGCTCCCCTCTGGAGCGAGCGCCTGCGGGTCGGTGTTGAGCAGCTCTGGCGGTGGGGAGGCCTGCAGGGCGTGTCTGATCGCCTGTCGCTCCGCCTCCCCCGTGGCCTGCCGCTTGCCAGGCAGTGCTCCACAGCGGGCCCTGCGCGGCAACAGCTTTCCACACGGCTGCACGGCGGCCCCGCCCGCCCTGACGACCTCAGGGATATGATGCCGCCTCCTACCGGCCGCCCAGCGGCCGCCCTCGTCCACCACACGAGAGCGCACTGGGGTGGTCCTCACACGGGGGGATGTGTGCGGAGAGGTTAGGGATAATGTGTGTTGAGCCAGTGTTGCCAGGCTGAACACCGAACATGTCTAGGCAACATTGGGGGAGGACATCCCTATGGGACGCAACAAATTCAGGAAAAGGGTTCACCTGGGGGTTCTTTACCCAAGCTGTCTATCGGACCTTCGCAGTAAAGCCAACTTTGCCCGTAAGTCCCAACAGGCGCTTTGCGGACTTGGCACTCAGGAAGCATATGATATCCTTACTTCGCGAGAGAGGCGGGCAGGGACAATGTCGCCCCAAGCCGCCGAAAGGGCCTCTGTCACCCTGGGATCCTTGATGGCCGCGATGCCGTTCCGCAGCGAGCGATGCCACACAATTTCATGCCCCTCCGAGGTGCTCTTGTGCCCCGGCTGTCGGCGGTGTTGCCAACGCTGAACTCCTTCGATGAGGACTGATTAAGGTCATAAGGGGCGGTTGTGAGCAGCGGGTGGCGTTTCCCATTATCGGCGATGAGCGTGTGCACATTCCACATGGTCCAACCGACTCGTAGAAGTGGCACCTACAGGCCAATGTGCGCCCTTGAACCTGCTGCCATTTGTGGATGTCGCCTATGTTGTTGGCCAGGCTGAATCTCCCATCTCAGATCCAGGTTCCAGACGTAATAGTTATGCCCAAGCTACTTCCTAGATGGGGTCGTAGAGGGGAACCTTGGTAGCAACTAGTTATGCGATGAACCCTCCATGCTTTCTTCTGCCTGCAGGCACCCACGCAAATTGACGTAGGTATCTGAGGCCAATGTCTGAAACTCCTGAGACCTTGATGCCGTGTTCCGCTGCCGGCAGTGCTCCAGTGTGCCAACGACGAGCGGCTCGCTTGCCTGTGGCACCGTTGAGCGCCAGAAACTTGCTGCGCCTGCGTCCCAAGGTCGCTATGCGCTTATTCTCTTGATGTCTTTTCACCCGACCTGCTGCTAACTCATGTCCCAGGTTTGGCATCCATCCCCTGAACGGTAGTCTTACATCGGGCGTGTCCCTCTACAGGAGGAATGCTCCGAAGCAGTCAAAAAGGAGTCGGAGGACAGTATTTTGACCATGTTTGAATCATTTAGAGTTTTCTTATTTTTTTAATGCTCTCTAGTTTTTCGTCCAAAATCCGCCTGTAGGGGGACACGCCCGACCTGACGGTAGCCCGAGGAGTCTCTGCGCCGTGCCGTGCCTGTGCCTCCCGCAGGGTGCCCGCCCGCGGCCGCTGCCCCCGGCTCCTCGCGGCCGGAGCCCAGAGGCCTGCAGTGGAGACCCACGCCAAGAAACACCCTGCTTGCCTCCAGCAGCACAGGAGGGTTGGAAAAAGTCGCTCCTGGGACGACTCGAAGCAAGCAGTTCGTGTGGAGAGTGAAGCTTCCGGGGCGTCAGGGCCAGTTCGGACAGTGAGGCGCTCAGTGAGAAGTGGGCCCCCACCCGCGCAGAAGAGAAGAGGGTGACAAGCCTCGAGGACCAGCTCTGAATGGCCGACATCAGCGGACGACAGCCAAACCCCTTGTGTGGCAAGAGCTAGCACCGTGGAGTCCCATGCCGAGAAAGGCCCTGCTCGCCTCCAGGATGCCCTGGGTTTCCTGGGTTTCGCTGGGCTTGCCATGGAAAGCTTGACGTGACCACGCCAAAAGTCAGTCGACGTCCCTCTTCCTCCTCCCCCTCCTCCTCCCCCTCCTCCTCCTCCTCCTCCTCCTCCTCCTCCTCCTCCTCCTCCTCCTCCTTGTGGGAGGTCTCTTGCGGTCGAGCTCCTGCCGTACAGCTCCCTGGCGTCGTGGGCGGAAGCTTCGGCGGCCGTCCCCAGGGGTGTAGATTCGAGTCGGGCCCTGTCCCTCCACAGGGGGGGAATACAGTCGGGGCCTTGACCTAAGGAACCCTAAATAAGGAACGAGGCCCCTCTTCTCCATAAGTTAAACTTCGATTTCCTGTCGAAAACAAAAGGGGAACCTGAGGCAAGCTGCAAAACACTTAAGGAACACCGAGCCCCTCCCCAACGAAAAGGGTTCCTTCCTCAGGGCCCTGGCTGTATCTAAGAATAGTTAAAAAATAGTCTGGGGACTATGTTTCCATTTTTTGGTTCATTTTTGAGCATTCCTTTTGACTACGTTGAATTGTTCGCCCCAAATCCGCCTGTAGGGGGACATGCCCGACCTAAGCCTGGCTCCCTGGCGTCGTACGTGAAAATTTTGACGGCCATCCCCGAAGTGCAGATGGCATCCTTTCGGGGAAACGTGAGACTCGAATAAGCCGGAACTCGGGCTTGCCGGCGTTCTTGACGAGCGCGCCCTGGATTTTGACGGCCCGATTTTTTCGTGGGATGTCTGCAGCGGGAGCTCGCGTCAAATTTCAGATTGGGTCTCGTCATTTTTATGAGAGCCCCGTCAGGCCAATCGGGGTCCCCCGGATCCGAGTCTTAGGTTTCCTGATCCTTGGGCTCCAGAAAGAACTGCAGTGCAACGTCGTCGACTGGCGCCCTTGGCGTGACTTTTGGGGCACTGTCGCTGAGCCTCCGCAAGGCTCCGCAGGTCGTATGGCTGCAGCCCGGCACGGCATGCCCACAGCTATGTAGGCTCTCGAGCACAGCATGCCCGTCGCATGGCTGCAGCCTGCGAGGCTGCCTTGGCACGGTTCAAACTGATCGCTGATATTGCCGAACGCACGCGGTCGTCGTGGTTGCCTGTGCAGTTCACGAGTATCCAAGCGAGGCGAGCGGGGTGTCCCACCGCCCTGGCCTCGGCCAAGAGTTGAGTGGGGTGAACCATGTCGAAGCGCTGGGCCATGCCAACCAGCGCGGAGACATGACGCATCTCCCACTAGGAACGCGCACTCGGCTGCAGGGTTGTGCGGGACAGCACCGTCTGAGGAACTGTGCCGCCTCGGAGTGCCCCCCAGCTCGTCGCACTTCTGCTCCGTCTGCCCGGGCAGAGGTATGTCCTTTG